AGAACAAACTAGACACAACGTCTTCTGGGAATAATTCTGACACAGTCTGGCCTTTTGCCCATGGCTGGGGTCAACTAAGCGATCAACTTCTTGAAATACCGTCCGATCCCACTTTCTGTGATTCGTGCACCTTCTTGAGTAGATACAAGCAATAAGATTAGTGTTTTAAGTTATGATTTAGAAGTGTTGCCCACTTGCCATGTAGGTTCTTCAGTGACTGCACCTGGTATATGGGAGACAAAGAGGAGCAGTGGTCTTGAGCTTTGTCCACAATCAACAAGATTAATGCACTTTAAAACTGCAGTTTTTAAGTCCTGACTGGTGTGATTTTTGAAGTGCTTCTGTTAGCACATGAGAGCTCAAGTGTGTTTCATGAGCTATGCTGATACTGTTTAGAGTGGCTTTGCTTTTGTGAAGGCTAAAGGTTCTGGCCCTCTTTGAACCACTTCAGGACTATTAAGAACAGTCCTGGACTACAGGTAGACCACTGTTACTGTAAGGTAGACTCTTCTTCCAAAGCTAACTGTGTATAAATTTAGTGATTACCTATTTAGAAGGCAACCAGATCAGGAAACTTTTTTTGGGAAGAACTAGTCCAAAATCAGGGCAAAACTAGGATGCTTTGGTGTAGGAACTGTGGAGGCAGTGAACTGTTTGTGCTGAAATATATGCCATGCTGAGTCATTTGGGACGTGTTCAGTTATCTAAAATAGGCATATTCTACCTATAGGGTTTGTCTGTGCTACTTAAGAAAAAAAACAAACCCCAAGCCAAAACAAAAGAAAGAACTTTTATGGGGGAACCTTCCTCCCCACCCCAATCTTGCGGTATGCAGCATGTACAGACCATTCTGAAGTGGACTTTTAATTCTCCTGGGAGGTCCACTTTGGGTCCACAGGAGGTAGAAGATTGTCAAGGGTGAACACAAAGTGTTTACCTACTTAAGAATCTATTTCAGGATAACTATGCCAAGATTTGAAGTGCAAACTTTCTTTTGAGGTGTGTTATATTATGTATCTTCTGTGTAGAATTCCTCAGTCTTGCCTATGTCTCTCATCAACATTAGTCAGAAGGCCCAAAGTATTAACAAAGTATTCCAGCGACTTGGAGCAGGAGAAGATACATGTGTGTTTCTAACCAGAATCAGCAAAATAAGATGGAAGTGAAGCTATTTCCACTTCGCAGATGTCAAACTTACTACTTCTGATACCATGAACTGAAAAATTACAAATTCAAGACTTAATGTGGGGCTTCGATTTCTAGAAAATCCACATGTGGAGCCCTGGTAGCTAAGGTATTTTCATATGAGGCCATATATCCAGGTTTCCCAGATGTGCAGTAAACCAGTTGCTGTTGGTATATGCTCTGTATCATGTCAAGAATGTACCCTTGCCATACACAGTTATTCTCTTCTGGGGAGCATTGTAGAGTTATTGCAGGTTTGTGCAGTGGCTCCATTGTTTTTTGAAAACTGTAGAGTGGCTTCTGCTTCACACGTTGTAGAATTGATGTATGTGCACAATAAATCCACTGTAAATTGAAAGCATCTTAATTAATCTGCATTCACTGATCAACTGTACAGAACAAGTGCTACAGGCCTGGAGTTTCCTCTGATTCTCAGACTTGTAACTTATGTTGCATAATATGCATGCACTTTGTGTCTGATGAATCATGGTTCCTTTCTACAGAGCATAAAAGCTCTATATAGTCGCATTTTCTTTGCTGTCTCCCTGTATACCTGTCCATACATGTGTGCCTCCCTCTTTTCTTCCCTCCTACTCTAAGAGTTAGATTTTAGTAGTAGAGATTGCATTTGCTGGTTTGCACCTCTCCTGGTTTCAGTCATATAAGACATACCTTTTCTTGGGTATATTTGCCTGTGACTTAACACTTCTTGTTCTCTTGTATGAGGATGTAGAGACCAGCAAAGTGTCTTTCTGCTACAAGTCCTCCCCTGTGACTGGACATATTGATAAAACTGCTTCTTTCTGGTGGAACTGGCCTTAAGCCAGAAGTATTTCTGGAATAGCTGAATTGGAGTTAGAAGGGACTTCTTCCAGCCCAGTTAACATTATAATTTTATTAATCTTTTCTGTCTCAATGGGGCATGAGAGGAGTAAAACTGAGGCGTGAAACAGGGGTGTAGAAGTTCTCAAAGACAAATATGTGCAATACCTAGATGGAGAAGGGGCAGAATTGCGTGAGTGTGGAGAGTGTTTAAAAGCTCCTAAACTGTGGAACGTGTGCCACTGCAAAGGCAGATATAGCTCTCAGACCGGTGTAGTGTTGGATACTCAATAGTGGGGCCCTCTGTACCAAAGTCTCATGGAGATCTAGGTGCCTGGGAAGAGACAAACATTTGGATTCGGTAAGAGAGTTGTTTCTAAGCTGGAGGAAGAGGAAGCAGGCACTAAGGTATAGGAACTTCTAAAAAAGAAGGTAGTGGCAACTTTTAACACTGCCAAAGACTTTTCTGCACAGGTTGCAATTTATTCCTCTCCTACCATGCCGTATGTGTGCTGGAAACCACAGTAATGTTTGTTCTCTTTTGACATCTTCATTATTTTTGTTCATATCTGGACTGGGTGGGTAGTGGATGTGAATAGGAGTTTGCTGTTAAAGTGAAACACTTAGATGGCCATGCTATCAGGTAGGAGGATGCATAGACTTACTGCAGGGCTTTTGCAAATTGATTTGCTATGGTAACAATTAACAACAGTATGTTGTTATGTTTTGCCCTGAAATGCCTTTTACAGAAGCCTTGAAAGACAATAAATGTAGTTTGATAGAAGCAATGTTGGTGTTCACCAGCCTTAAGTGTTGGTTAAATTGTTTGCCAGGTAGCGATAACGTTAAGATCTGGCTGTTGGCAGCTTTGGAAGGTAACCACTTTAAGTGTGACAATCACATCTTGATTTTAGCATGACTAATGTGGTCATATGTTTCAGCAGTCATGTATTTCTGTGTCCTTATTACTAGCTCATATGCAATCACTAGCGTGCAAATACAACTTTTCTCTCCTATTTCTAGACAGAAAGGAACCTAAGCTCCTGTCAGTTTAGTTGACCATAAGTTACTGTGAGTTTTTCTGGACACATCACATTTGACTCTTACTCCCAGTAGTTATAAAATGCATCACAAATATTTTGATCATGTATTCTTGTTTGCTCTGTAAAGTACAAAATCAGGAGGAGGAATACACAATTAATTTCAGGGAGCATGAGTAGCATAGCATGCAGCTGTACTGTCTATCAAAGTGATTGTCACAGTATCTGTTAGGAGACTTAAAGTCTGAGAGGCTGTTAACTTAAAGGATATGTGACATAACTCAGTTCCATGGGAAAACTTAATAGCATCATATGATGTGAAAAGTTTTAAAAAGTCTGATTAACGGTATTCATGAATTCTATTTATGTATTTACCTCTTCTTGAAGTAAACCAGGGACCAATTAATTTAAGTTTTCTTTTGTCTCTGATTCCTGCCTTTTTCCACAAAAATGATCAGAGGGATGGAACACCTCTCCTAGGAGGACAGGCTGAGAGAGTTGGGGTTGTTCAGCCTGGAGAAGAGAAGGCTCCAGGGAGACCTTATTGCAGCCTTCCAGTGTTTAAAGGGGGCTTCTAAGAAAGATGGGGACAGACTTTTTAGGAGGGCCTGTTGTGATAGGCCATTACAACAGTAATGGTTTTAAACTAAAAGAGGGCAGATTCAGACTAGATGCAAGGAAGATGTTCATGATAAGGGTGGTGAAACCCTGGCACAGGTTGCCCAGAGAGGTGGTAGATGCCCCATCCCTGGAAACGTTCCAGGTCAGGTTGGATGGGGCTCTGAGCAACCTGATCTAGTTGAAGATGTCCCTACTTATTGCAGGGGGTTGGACTAGATGGCCTTTAAAGGTCCTTTCCAACCCAAAGATTCTGTGATTCCTTCTGGATAGCAGCTCAGAAGGTGCTGAGTTTATGCTTTTGATTGTCCAAAGAAGCAGTAAGTGGCACTTTTGACTTGTGATGCCATTCTCTTTGATTTGTTATTAAAGACAGAGACCAGAAATATTTTGAGTCTGGTTTGAAGAAGCTTTATTCAGATTTTTACAGGCGTCCAAAATTGATGTTGAGAGGACTGTCCAATACAATAGTATCTTGAATTTTTTTCTTTTCCTAATAAACAATAGTTTAATGCAATTGAAGCATGAACAGTGTCTAATATTTATTTTATACCTGACTGTTTACCAGACAGAGAAGGAGGCACTTAAATGCATTTGTGCGTAGAGCTCTGAACTGAGAACTGCACCTAGGCAAGCAATTAGAAGAAATACAGCAAGCTGTAAAGCAAGAGAGAGTTGAACTTCTTTTCCCCAGTTATTCTCTTTGTCAGTAGTTCACTTGAGAAATGTCTGTCAACCGTTACAGATCTAGAAGCATGACATAACTGTGCATGCTGAAGAGTTCTGAATGCTTCAGTAAAATCATTTTATGGCCACGTGTCAGTCCAGTAGCCAACCAATGCTATGAAGGCTTTGCAAAGATTGTTAGAGGAGATAAGTTATCAGTGAAAGGAGAAGAAAGTTCTTGTTTCATGAATAACATAAGCGATGTTGGCAACAAGGATTTGGTGTAGAAGCATTTTGCCAACATGCATATGTTAATTTGGCATGTAATTCATCTACAGCTTGCCACAGAATTTTACATATCAGTAAAATTCTGAGTCTGCAGGTTGCTATAGATTGTCACTATGTGTTGGCAGAATGGCAGCTGTTTAATCCAAACTTATCCTGCTGATTCATCTGTTTTCGTTAATACTAATTGAATACCTGACTGCACGGCATCTTAATGTAAATATGTGTCTATGTATCCAAACCCTTGCAAGGTAGAAAATTTTTTTATGCTAATTAGGGTTTCAGCAAAGCCATTTATGGATAACTGCAGAATTAAGTAACTTGTCTGTCAACAGTTTACACATGGCTCAGGCAGTAATGCACATTTCCTTTCTTTCTTCTAGGAGGGGATGACCGCCGTGTCTTACTTTGGCATATGGAAGAAGCCATCCACTCAAGAGTCAAACCAGTTCAGCTGAAAGGGGAGCATCACTCTAATATCTTCTGTCTAGCTTTCAACAGTGGCAATACAAAAGTGTTCTCTGGAGGTAAGGAAGGAAGAGCACCCTGATTTCACAGGAGTTTGCGTTGTGAATGCCTTGGAGTAGAAGTCATGAGTGAGATCCTGCCCCATATGAAAGGTCTTTTCCATAGCGCCCTAAGGATCTGGAAGGTGTCCTTAATCAGCAGATGAGGGTTCTTTGGGAACAGGGAATTCTTTAGCTGCATGAATTTTGTCATGCTGCTTCTTTTCCCAAACCCTGGTGTAAGCATATTGTGTCTGGAGCTATCATGAGAATCCTGGGTCCAGTCTGCCCCTACTTGTGCTACAGACTGTGGAACGTGGTCTTCTGTGATGCCCTCTTAGCTGTACTCAGAGCAGACCCTGCGTCCTCTCTGGCGCTCAAGCCTGATGCTTGAAAATCTGTGCTGCCGCTAGCTGATTTTAATGCACCCTTAGATGGCTAATGAAGGGCTATTGCCATCTATTGGTGGATCACTTTTTCTCAAACCTCATTTCAGTTCTCACTAGGTAAGTGTCTGCCTTTTAGAACTGTTGGCACATTGGGCTCTAATTGGCCTTGATATTCTTCGTCTTTTTTAATATAAATCCACTTTTTATCAGAAAGTTTAATTCAGTCTTTAATATGAGGAAAGTGGACATGTACTTGTTCTGGGGTAATCATCCCTAGAATTTAGGTTCATTTCACCACTTGATTTTTAAAATGTTGAGGTAGGGGGGAAAATTGAATTGAGAAGAAAAAGGCACAAGACTGTCAAACTGCAGTCAGTGTCCTTTTCTGCTGTACTTCATTTCCTCTATCTGACATGATAATAGAATGGACAGGAATTTGTATCTTTCATCAGTATGTCCATTGATATACAGCTAGACTTATTTTAGGATATTATGAGACTACTTGTTCAGAGCCCTTCATTATCGTTTTGAACCAAGATTTGTGAACTGCAAATCAATGCTATAAATTGATTCTAAGCACATGGGAATGGTGGAAGCTTCCCATCCTTCAACGCTGTGTTAAAACTATAACATCCCTTAGAAAAAAAGGCATAACAAAACTTAAGGTGGTGTCTGATTTTAAGGATGATACGATTCAGATATACTTCTCAGATGGAGAAAACCCAAAAAATGTGAAATAGTGATGCCTATCTTACAATCCTGGAGAGTGCTGTTTGTTTTATGAGAAAGACAGCAGTCCACACTGTCTTTAGATGAATGTGTCTGCATGAGTGTTTCTAATGAAATTTTGGGCTGGAGTCTGTTTTACTTTAGTCTGAATTCAGACAAATGGAACCTTACATGAATATTCAAGGAACTAACTGTGCCAAATCTTGCTGGAGCAACTGTAATGGTATTTTCTCATTTCCAACTCAACTCTGTCCATTGCACCCTGCTGTCAAAGGCTACTGTTTTCACAGGAAGGGGAGCAGAGTGGTTTGACTGTACCTTGCCACTGCAGTTAACACCTGCAGTTAAAGATTTACATGATTGATTATGGTGAATTTTTTCTAAGATGCCAGGTTAGATGAGCTGTGACAGCTGATGCACAGACAAACTGGCCGTTCTCATCTCTTTTTCCTCTTCCAGTTTGCATAAACATTTCTCTGCCAGAAATTATTTCCATTGGAGGAGTCAGGAACTTTTTCAGCTGTTCCACCAAGATTCACAGAGCTCATCTGCAAGGGCTGTGAGTCTGACTCTTGGATGCCTTGTAAAGAGTCATTTTGCTGCATGGCCTAGATGTACCATCTGTTTTATCTCTGTTGGAAAATGGGGCTATCTATATTTATTCACTCAGCAATGTTCTGGGAGATTCTTAAAAGATCTGAAAGAATTGTGGGTCCTAAGATCTGTTGGTCATCATTCCCTCCAGTACTGAAGTTGGGTTGTATTCTAATCATGGAAGTCAGCATACTTTAAAAAAAAATAACCCTAAAAATTAGAGCATGGAAACTAGCACAAGGCGCACAGAACTCAATTCATTCTGTAAATAAAGCTGCCAACAACTAATGACTTAGGATCTGATGACCTTTCCCTAAAGCAGCTCTTGATAGCAGAGGAGGAAGGATTTTCCACTTCAGTACCAATTGAATTGCATCCAAGGAATTTCAAAGCTCTTTGCTTTGAAGGAGCATACGTGTAGAATGCACCATGCACATATAGCCATTACAAAATGCAAGGCAGGAACGGAGTGGACAGTGTTTGGCTTGTAATCTCTGGAGAAAAAAACTGTCTCAAGATACCAGAGAAGTTCTCATCCCTGAAGAATACTACTGGCCTTCTCTGTCCACATGCACTGAAAGTAGAGCAGCATTTGAAATGAAAGATTGCCTCTTAGTAAACTGCATGGACTTTTTTTTTTTGCTTTTAATGTTAGGTACTTGAAAAGCTGAAATAAACCTACAGGGTACTGAATTTGTTTCTCTAGAGGTCTGATGTTACAGATACGGGGTTTAGGCCACCTTAACTGTGCTTCTCTGTATGTGCTCTGCAGTATTTCATCCTCACAGGTATAACTGAAGGGAATGGCAGATTATACTTGTCTTTTTGATCATTGTAATTGCAGTTATCAAAATAAGAAAGATTATAAATGGGAGAATTGTGTATATAATTACAACACAGTTATTTTCAATGAAGAATGAACTGTCTTGTGTCAAAGTAAACATTGTTGAGTGGGAACCCCACTGGGCTGAACAGCAGTGATGTTTTCTGCAGGGATGAATCCTTACCAACAGTGACCAAGCAGTCTGTGGTTACATTTTTGTCACCACCTTCTCCTCCCTCACACACAAAACAGAGAGAAGCAGTGGTTATTCCACACAACCCCTCTTTTCGTTCATTCTTTCTCATTTTGGAGCTTGTGATGGAAGGGAAGGTTGATCCCATGATGACTAGAGGCCTGAAGCCAGGCATCTGAAACAATTCTTGTGTTCATGCTGTATGGAGGGTGAGGAGCAGGAGTGTCTGTTGGAGGAAATTTTGTCACTGGAGAAACTAGGCTACATTTTTCACTGGTGAAATACATAGGCACTAGATTAGTTTTACTAGGTATAAACCTTGCCTGTAATGTATAATGGACAGTTTCCATTGCAATTAATGATCAAAGGACACTTACACATAAGTGACTTGTTTATTGTACCATGGAAAAGATGAGCTACTGCAGTAATCTAAGACTGGCACGATTTAAATAGGAGCCTGTGCAAAGAGCAAGTGGATGTAGAAAAACCTCACACCTCATTAGTCAGAAAAACTTTCTCATATTTCTTCTGTTGGGACACACAAATTTAAATGTATATGGGATAACTGAAAACTGAGTCAACTGAACACTTAAAAATCATAACATGAAATCTTGCTCCTTCTGAACCTCTGGCTTTGGTGTACATTAGGAAAGTTTCAAAACTTGATATTACAACTACAAAGACACACTGAGCATAAAAATATGACTTTGTGGGCTTTCTGTGTTTTTTTTTCTTCTAAACTAAATATAAATGTGTGTCTACTTAAATGTTTCTAAAGAGGAGGTGCCAAATTAGATAAATTAATATTCAGTGCAGAGACAAAAAAAAAATGTTCCTATAGCTTGAAAAACACTGCCATGAGCCAGTGGAATTACTTTGTAGCTGTGACGTTCTTAGTCTGCATGCATGTGGTTAGTTTCCTTTGTGTTCAATGGATATGATCAAAGAGAAGTGACATGATTGTCTGGTTACTTGGGTTGGTTTTTGCTAATACAAAAGGAATTACACTGGCTGTCACGTTCATGCCTTCTCAATGGTTGCAAAACCCTGAATGCTGACAGTGTGAACGGGTGGCATTTGAGCTGGGAGCCCAGTGCATTTTGCTTATGGCATCTCTTTTCACCCACCATTATCTTCTTATGAAGCATCCTCGGAGCAGGAAGAAAGGTATATTCGCATGAGAGTTAAAGGTGTTCTGCTGCTTCATATAATATTATTCTCTTCACCACAAGTGTCCCAAAACTCAAGCTCAAACCAAAACAAAGAACAATCAGTGGCACAGTTAAGTAGAAGTATTTGTTGAGCAGTAACAGATGGAATGTATTGGTGCATTTGATCATGACTGGAAATGTCACATGGAACCTTTCACATAACTGAGCAGAGGGCTGACCTGAACTGGTCTTCTCTCTTCTTCAGTTTTGTTTTCAAAATAGAAAATAATAAAAAATATATATTGTTTTTATTTTTTTCACCATAATGCTTTTTAACCACTGGAACATGATGTTAAGTGTTTATATTTCTCTTTATAGGCAATGATGAGCAAGTTATACTCCATGATGTTGAAAGGTAAATACACAGTTTGTGTTTACGCTGCTTCAAGAGCTCCCTTAATGTCAACTCACTAGAGGCACTTTTTGTTTTAAATTAAAGGTCTGGCAGAAGAACACAGTGTTTTAATCCTGAAACATGCTTTTTATTTATCTAAACTCATAATCTGGATTGAAGTATTCCCCAGCTCCCCATTTTTTTTTAAGCACTTGGGTTCTGCATCGTTTTGACATTGGAAAAGAGAATGGTTATTAAATACATATGCTCTCCTGCAGGCAACATAGTAGTTCTGACTAGATTGGAAGCCAGATTATTCTGGTACATATACAAGTATTGTAGCACATACAGGCTTTTTGTTTTCTTTTTCAAAACTCTCACCTGACTTTGTATTTAAGATAGCTAGTGCTTGACCTACCTACCTTCCTCTTCAAACTTTGGCTGTAGCTGCCTGATTCTCCACACTAACATGAAGCATATTTATTTTGATACTTACTTTTTACTAAAACTGCAAAGCAATTGAGAATTAGGCTTTTTTGTGCTACATCAAGATTGGGCTGTTAGTCAAAATATAATTAATACAGTAGTGGTAATGTATTAGATTTGGGTCCTCTAGATAGCATATCATGTATTTTGAGCTTACTGCTTTTGAAGTAGAAAACTATAATGTTAAGACTTTGACCTGTACTAGTAACTTCTACAGATTTAAGCAATGACTGTTTAAATAATGTTAACTCAAAAAATCAAGTATAAAGAAAAAGCAGGAAAAGATGTAAGAACAGAGAAATACAAAACCTTAAATCTTTATGAGTTGCCTGAATCCTGTTTAACATAATTTGGACATATTTCTTGCTAGGTTTGTCCAAAGCCTTTTTGCATTGAACTGATCAATGTACATCTGCCTTCCATCATACCTTATATCCACTTCTTGTATAAATCTTACATGAGAGCTGGGGAAAAATAACTTTGTCTTACTCTTCTAATGCTCTCTTAGGAATATGATGTTGTTTGGGGTTTTTTTGTTGTTTTAGTTTGCTTTTTATTTTTTGGGGGCGTGTGATTTTTTGTGTGTGGTTTGGGGGGGTGTTTGTTTTTGGGAGGGTTGTTTTTTGTTTGTTGTTTTGGCTTTGTTGCTGTTGGTTTTTTAATTAAATGTGGAAATGTCAACATTTTAGATGCTGGTGTTTGTTGTGTTCTGACTTTTCAAGCTTCTACAAGATCTTTGTCCTTTACAAGTTTAGATATAATTTTTTTTTCTTGCGATGTCCTAGATATTGTAACAGATCTTTTTGATATGTATGTATGTCTTTTTAATGTGCTTTTGTTATTGGGGTTTGCTTTTTTTAGGTGTGCTAGGTCCAGTTGTAATGCATACAGAATTCATTCCTCTAAGGCTATTTGCATGATCTTCTGAAAGAAACCGTACTAGTCTGACACAGTGAATTCTGATTGATTTCTATAGAAAGTTACTCTGTCTTCTTGAATGATAACACCAGGTCTATCAACTGCTTTTTCATACTTCTGAATGGCTTTTTCTGCTAGTGCCTATTTGGCCTTTCTGTTAATGGTCCTTAAGACAGAATTAGTATATCTGTCACAAAGAACAGTAATTGCTATGTGAGCAAAACGCTGATTTTACGTGGGATCTCTTTGGTGGAGTTTCCATCAGGTATAGGGTTTTTATACAAAGTGTATTCTCTAAAGAAATAAAAGGGTTTTGCCAAAGAAATACAACAACTCCAGAATCTTCAGTCTTAGTATTTTAGCTTTTGGCCTCTCCATGCCACTATTTCTTCCTTTTTAAATGATCTAAAAAGTTAAGAAGAGAGCTGAGAACAGTCTTTTCAATAGCTGGGGAATGGCTGAAATCTAGGTACTCTGGGGGACTTATTTTTATTTTGTTCTTTTTTGCTGCTTTTTCCTATTACTTCCTCCCAAGCTGAATCTAATATCACGTGATTTCCATAGCGTCTTGCAGTTTCTGAAGCTTTGAATGTGTGGGTTTTGTTCTGCAGGTTTTTTTTTCCTCATAGCATGACATCTTGGTCACTCTGCATGGGCTTTTTGTTTGGTTTTTACTCTAATTAAACACAAGGGTCTTCTCATGAAGTTACATAAACTTTGTCATTAAGTGTTACTAGGTAGATAAAGCTGTAAATACTTTGCTTTTTAAAACAACAGCAAAAGAAGGAAAAATTATATTTGTGTCTTTTTTTTCCAGCACTGAGACTTTGGATGTGTTCGCCCATGAAGATGCAGTGTATGGCCTTTCAGTGAGCCCAGTAAATGACAACATCTTTGCCAGTTCATCAGATGATGGACGAGTTCTTATCTGGGACATCCGAGAGTCTTCCCATGGAGGTGAGATCTCTAGATGGAAAAGATCATTGATTTAGGAAGAATTTGGGCAAGGTGGAGAAAATTATGTTTTGGCGAGTGTTGGAGAAGGGTGGAAGTGAGACAGAATTCTTGTGGCCAGTGATAGGCAAGCCCTGGTCTTTACAGTTCAGTGTTACTGTCTTAAATTACTTCATGAAGTACCAGCATACAGTGCAGGCTAGCATGGAACTTGGTATGAATAGGTTTTAACTTGAGTAAAGAAGCAGTGGAGGACATGTTTCTGCAATAAAAATGTCTTACTAATCTTGAAATCAGTTAGGAATGTGGGTTTTTTTTGTCTATAACCTGAGACAAAAAATTTTTGCATGTTTAGAAAGCTGTTATTTTGATTTGAATAATTTTCCAAAGCTATTTATATACTTCCCTGTGACACTGAGAATTGTTCTTATGCATAATGTTTTCTGCTTATATGGAAACTTAGAGCCCTTATGTGATAACAGGCAAGTTGAATTATTACTTCAATCTTTGTTTTCTAAAACAGAACTGAATACTGTTGATTTGTGTAACGAACCTGCAGCTTCTCAAAATACTGTAATCTGTGTTTTTACAGCTGCAGTTTTAAGGCTGAAGAATCTCAGTTTAGAACTGTAGTTACATAAATTTGGAGAGGAATACTTCAGTAATTGAATTTCAGTATATGAATACTTAAGTAGTACTTCAGTAAATGAACTTGTTAGTTTACCCCATCCTAAAGAATACAAAGCTGAGAATTTAAAACTGAGCAGTCTGCAGGAGTACAGAATCTGGTTTCCTTCCTTCACAGCTAAAATAAACTTTCATCTTCTTTTGTAAGCTGATTAAATGCAATTGCTTCAACTCATAGTTTCTACTCGTCTTACAGGAAAGTTGTTTATGGCACTGAAATCCAGCTTATCTATTTTGTGGCAATTTGTACACATTTGTTGTTGGGTCAAAGTTGCTGTTTAGCTGAATTAGCTTCTTCCATACCTACTGAATTTAGTAACTTTTCTAGACTGCGATTCGGTCCCTTTTTGACTAGGAAATGAAAGCTGAAACAAGACATACTTTATAGTCTCATAGGAGTCTTTTAGAGCCACTAGTATCATGAGGGCTTCATTGAACATCTTTCTTGATAAGCACCGCCAGAATACTTGCAGTAGATTGCTTATTGATGCTCTCGTGACCCCAGGCATATTGCCTTTGTATAAATAAAAATTAAACATATTGGCACTGCATTCAATTTTTAGTCATTTGATTCTTACTGTGAATTCTGATTCTCATTAATAATACCTCCCTCTTGCTCCCTCAGAAGTCCCTTACTAGCACAGTGAACTGTCTTCCCTTCAGCCAGTTTCTTATCCCATGCAATTCCCTTTGCTAAACCTGATACCATACTACATGTGAATTTAGTGCTCGTTAGATCTACCACTTTTCCCCTGTATAAAAGGTCATCTACTTTATCAAAGAGATCAAATCAGTCTGATGTGAGTAGTTTACCTTTCGTAAAGCCAAGTGTCTCTTCATCCTTATTTTTCTGTTTTTATAATATCCAAGTGATGAGGCCAGACATTGAATACGGCTTCAAAATTAGAAATGGTGAAATGCTCTTTTGTTGCCTTCTCCTGAATGCTAGACCATAAAGATTTGTCTCTGTTAGGAGAACCACCTGTTGCTGACAGTGGACGTCAGCAGTTGGTGGGACTGTATACTTAAATGCATCTGTATGAAGCTGCTTTAGTATCATAAGCCAATGTCTAATCTGATCTGAGTTTCTGAAATTGTATGAGATGAGGTTTGTCCTTCTTTGTGGTGGTTAAACCTTGCTACTGCTTTTACTGTTGCTGAGACTTTGAATGAGAAGGCTGCACTTCTTTTGGACTACGGAGTGAAGAAGTGTTGTCAGCGGTACATTTGGGGCTTTTTTGGAGTAGTGTCTCAGGTTCTCGGAATTTTAAATAAAGGGCTTTTGTATGCTTATATAGGAGTCCTGAGTCAGCATTTATATATGAGCCCTGCCAATGTTTACTACAATACAATGATTGTCACTGGAGTAATCCCCTTGTCTGCAATGGTATTGTCATGGGAATAGGCACTATGCCTGCCAGCGTTAAGTATAGTTAGTTACCCTGAGTGGCCAGCTCATTAAAACCTTGTAAATAACCTCCTAGTTTAAAATCATGTATTAAAAGAAGCTGGAAAAGGAGTTTCATTCCCCTTCTGTTTCTCCCTGTCTTTCACTGCTGGGTGATTATGCAGTAATTTTTATAAACCCACTTTTAATTTTTGTTAGAGATGGTATTGAGCTTCTCCCTTGAGAAACAATTTCATACTCCAGTGTACAAGAGCTACAACTGCGAATGAGCATAAAGAACAATAAAAAAGTAATCCCCCTACTTTTCATTAAAGTGACTTAGTGCCTCATTACTTTAGCTCCTGTAATCTCTCTTTAATTTGACAGGCTGAAAGGCAACTTTTGATATCTTAGAAGGTACCAGGCCAGGCTATTTATAATAAAGGTGTGAAGGAAAACACCAGTAATTAGTAACAATGATTTGACTAAAAAAATATACACAAATTAGAAGTATATTTAAAAAAAAAAAACTGATGTTTGTCTCTCTACTCAGCTAATGCAAGCCATTGCTTCTCAGTGGGGGCTGCCATTTTAATAACACAGCCTTTTATGTCCCAGCAGGGATCTGATTTGATGATGCAAATGTAGAAGGTCAGTTTTGGTGTTAAACCTTACTTGGAGCTGCTGTCAGACCAACAGCAATCTCTAAAGCCTTGGGACAGCCTGGCAGAACAAAAGTTTGCTCCTGTTCTTCACTTTACCTCTGCCTCCTATGACAATTAATAGCACCAGGGAGCTTCAGCCATGGTCAGAGACCTTTTGTTTTGATCACTGCTAAATGAATGCTAAAAAGGAAAGTCCCTGTGTCAAAAAGCTTGTAATAGAGCATAAGAGGAGGATACAGATGGAGCAAGACAAATAAACATTAATTCTGTCTCACTTGCTTGATGGGCAGTAGTTTCAGAAGGTATTGGGAATTTGGGAGGGTTATCTGTATAACCATGTTTTATATGTCTTAATGAGCGATATGAGGAAAGAAAATTAAGTGCCTTTGGAGGTGGGTCTAAAGGTGCCTTCATACAGTGGCTCAAATAAGGGCAGTAAGAGTGTCTCCCAGGCATGTGAGCAGCACAGTGATTGTATCAAAGCAAACAGTGAACGGAAAAGTCTGGCATAATCCCTGACTCAAAATAGGCATTGATTCTGGTTTCTTAGTTGAGTGAAAGAGTGGCAGCATGCCACAAAAGATACACACAACAAAGAGAATTAGACTGTGCCTAAAGCCATAAAATCAGCAGAAAGATACAGAGAAGGATGACAGAGTCAAGGCTTTTTCCCGTTCTTCATGGAGGCAACATTTTGACCGCATGAATAGGGTGGAGTAGCAGCCCAAACACAATCTTGTTACACTAATCAAGAAGAGAGAGAGAGTCTGGATGAGCATGTTTTTAACTCTGTGTGTGAACAGCAAAAGCCAACTGTTACCATGTTTATGCAAGAGGAACACCCTTCTTGTTTACTTGTATAGCTGTTTGTACAACACTTAAGAGGTGGCAGGCCTCTTTTCTGCAGGGTTGGTAGCTTGCTTTGAACTGAGTTCCATACAAACTTATTTCACTTTTTATAATATTATTCTCCTATATAAGCAACTGCTGCTACATTTACATTTTGGGTGATCATCAATGACTGTGGAAGCTTCCAGGTATATATTGCTAGGAAACTTTCAGAAGCACCCCTTCCCATGTGTAGTCCTTATTGGATGACCATTTGGTCATGAACCTTAAGAAAATTCAAATACTTCATCTTTAAGTGGCTAGTTTTAAACTCTGAGAACCTTCCATTAGCAAAGTGGTGTCTTGAAATCCAGTATGTGTCCTTTTCCATATTTAGACAAAGTTAATGTACACGTGGGTGGATTTTAAAACCTCAGTTTTTATATTGCTTTGGATGTGTCAGCTTGAGAAATGGTTTGAACATGTCTCCATATCTTCAGATCTTGTTATGCTGTTTCCATATTAAGCTGCCAAACTCATTGTATTGAAGTTATATGCATTGTTTGTTCTCATGTCTGAAATCTCAACTTTTTCAACAGAGCCCTTCTGCTTGGCACACTACCCATCAGCCTTTCACAGTGTGATGTTTAATCCAGTAGAACCCAGATTACTGGCTACTGCCAACTCTAAGGAAGGTGTGGGACTCTGGGATATTCGTAAACCTCAGAGGTAAGATCTGGCTGTCCTTGTTTTACGCTGTGCTATGTCTTATGCTGTGTCTTTCCCCTGAGAGGTGATGGTATGCCACTCTTTTTTTTTTAAGTCAGAACATACGTTTATAAGAAAAGATGCAGAACAAAGTTAACAGCAGTGTTAATAATGCTGAACTAAATTATTTTGCATAATTAACATTCTTCTTCATACGTACGATCTAATTGGATTTAAAATTAGGTTAGACCTTCAATGTTGAGGTAAGTGATTTTTTGGAAGCCTGCCTGGCCTCACCACTGCAGATTAACTTGGATTGGTGTGTCAAGTTTGCATCATTATATTTAGCACTGGCTTGCTAATACTGGAAGAAGCCATGGTGGGCACTGCCTGGTTTACAGTTTGTTTTTTGTACTCAGATCAGTTTTCAGTGGCTGACTAGAGATTGCGGTCAAGGCAGCTTTTTACTCAATGCTTACGAGTTTTATGTGACTTCTTAGACACCTGGATAATCAGTTTGGGTGCATAATGTGCTTCCAGATTTGCACAGGATTTTAAACAAATGAAAAGACGATAATAAGTTTGCAGTATGAAGTATGGTTAGACTGGGTTCTAAAGTGGACATATGCAATGCCTGATACCAGAGTTTCGCATGCATGAGAGATTAAGCTTCTGTTGAACTCTTTCAGTCCTTCAGATTTTGAAAGTAATTTCCTTTTTTTATCATAATAATCAGGGAAAAAAAATTGGCCACCTCAGGTTAATGTTTCTCCTTTCTCCCCCAACTTTTATGTTCACATGTTTCCAGTTAAAAGTATAAGTGTAGAAAGGATAATTTGAAAAAAGTGAGAAGAGGGGAAAACAGGTGGTACTTGTTTTACAGTGCAGTAGCCTCAGCTAGTTAAAATCTTCTGTACGCTTGATTCTCCCCTTACTGGTGTGTCATGGTTTAACCCCAGCCAGCAACTAAGCACCACACAGCCGTTTGCTCACTCCCCCTCCAGTGGGATAGGGGAGAGAATCGGAAAGATAAAAGTGAGAAAACTCATGGGTTGAGATAAAGACAGTTTAATGGGTAATGCAAAAGCTGCACACGCAAGCAAAGCAAAACAAGGAATTCATTTACTATTTCCCATCAGCAGGCAGATGCTCAGCCATCTCCAGGAAAGCAGGGCTCCATCATGCAGAACAGTTACTTGGGAAGACAAACAACATCCCCCCACTTCCTCCTTCTTCCCCCAGCTTTATATGCTGAGCATGATGTCATATGCTATGGAATATCCCTCTAGTCAGTTGGGGTCCCAGCTGTGTCCCCTCCCAACTCCTTGTCCACCCCCAGTCTACTCACTGGTGGAGTGGGGTGAGAAGCAGAAAAGGACTTGAATCTGTGTAAGCCCTGCTCAGTAATAACAAAAACATCCCTGTATTATCAACACTGTTTTCAGCACAAATCCAAAACATAGCCCCATACTAGCTACTATGACGAAAATTAACTCAATCCCAGCAAAATGCAGCACAGGTTTCAAAGTTCAAAAAAATGAAGAGAGGGGAAAACAGGTGATAATTGTTTTACAGTGTAGTAGCCTTGGCTAGTTAAAATCTTCCTTAGTGATAGATATTCCTTGACTCTCCATCTTGGAATATCTAGAAGTGCTTATCACTAAGAATTCTTCTTGGGTTTGTACTGTACACAGAGGAGCAGCAATCTCATATGAATTTAGTTATAACTGACTTAAAAAAAATTCTAAAAAAAATTCTAAAATGTTTAGACATCCATTACAATAGCAACCAAATTACAGTTTCAGGAGGGTTTATTCTTAAATTGTAAACATTAATGGTTTGAATTGATTTTTATTTTTAAGCTTGAATCAGAATTTGCACCCTGATGCTGGTGGCTCTAGAGCTCGCTGAGATTTGTAAAGTTTGCCAGAGCCCTTGGTGGCAGCTGTTGTACAGTCTGCTATTAAATTTAGGTTCGATAAAATTTAACGGGAAGGGAGTTGGGAAGTTGCCTGAGCTATCTTCTTTTATCCTTGTCAAACTCTTAGATCTAGGTCTTAGTAAGTAACTTTCTAACATCAAACTAACTTCAGCATTTACTGGATAGAAGGAGAGAAATACAACAAGTTAGGGTTATTTTACTCTTACAAAACGTGTTTCTTTTTTTTTTCCCCATAAAATTTCTGCCATTTTAACTTCAGTTCATGCCTGTTTTTCGCTTGTGAACCAATATGGACAAAGTTGGCTTCCTCTTGCAAAGCCAGCTGGCCTCATACTGGTGTTGCAGGATTCTTTGTTTTTCAGCTTCTACGTCAATTTTGTGATTTAAAAACTTCTGCAGGTTATGTTGGTCTTGTTTTTGAAAGGGAGTTATACCAAAACATTTCTCTCTTCAGACATTTATTCTTAGAGTGTGAATATAAGAGAAATGAAGCTGATGGAGTGATACAGCTTATATCAATAGAAATTCTATATGGATGCAAAATTTAGACCAAGTTTTTCACTCGGGTAGCAAAGTGAAATGGGATCACCCCTGGAAAGGTTGTGCTAGGCTAACAGGAATAGAGAGAGGAAGTAAGTATCACCAAGGATACAAGCATTGACCCGGATAATGCAGGAGCAGATTACTTGAGTAAGGAATTCTCCTTGTACCAATTTTAACAGCTGCTTTCTAATAGCAGAAATAGTGCCTTTTCCTTAGTTTTAGCTATTGTCATTAAGACTTTGATCTCCAAAAGTTTCTCAGCGTATATGTAAAAGTGTTGATGAGCTATTCCTTGGGGTGGCAGCAGCTATCAAGTTGTGGAAACTCAGATGATCTCCAGTCTAAATGCTATCCTTGCCTTCTTCCTCACTCTTAACCACAAGGCAGGGTGCTTGCTGTGAGTTTGTTGGGGGTTACTGCACGGGTAGGGATAGTAGTCTGGGGTTAATTTGGGATATTATAATTAATGGAATAATGGAATAATGTGATTAATAATAATGGGATAATAGTCTGTAGTTAATAATTTGCTGCTAGTATAACACTTCATGTAAAACTCATTTCCCCCAACTACTGTCCTGTTCTCTGTCAGTTCTCAGATGGAAACAGTTAAACTGATGCAGCCACTACTTGGTTTGCTTCATAACTGAAGACTGTTCTGGGCAATCCTGCTGCTGCTCCCATGCAAAATCCTGAAAGCAAAGGAAAAGCCTGGAATTCCAAAGACTACCTGTTTGTGGCCAATAGCAGTACTACTCTAGCTGGCAATACCTTCACATAACATGTATTATGGCCAATAGCACTGGTGCAGTAATACTCTTTACAGATGTAAGTGAGGTTTGATAAGCCCACAGGGTTCAGCTGGCCTTCACTCATTTGAAGGGGATCAGGCTTAGTGCTGAATTTCTGGTTTTGATCAGCAGAGACTCCTCCGGTGAGGTGTAGCTTTTCTTTAACTTTGTTCAGCTTTATGATGCACTGTCAGAAAAGGGATGAATTGCTGTTAACTTATAAATTTGTATGGCAGTCAGTGGAATATGGAGAATTGTGCACTTTTAAACTAATAGCTCCAAATTTTCAAAATCTTGAATGGAGTAGTGATATCCTAGCAGGTTAGAGAATTCAGATACAGATTCCACTATTTGTCAGAAACAAATGAGCTGCATCTATTTATTTATCCGGAAAATCTGAGAATTTTTACACCAGAGTATTTTTCTCCAAAAACACATGGCTCTTCTCCAATTGGGTTATAAGAGAATTTGTCTTCTAGCTTGCCATTACATGTCTCCAGCCATCTGAGTTGGTTTTATCCACTTCTTTAGTCAGACAACACTAAACACTTCTACAAATTAAAAATAAAATATTTTTGGGCTTAGAAAAAAAGGTCCCGATTATGAGTAAATTTTATTCATATACCGTAAAATTGGTTAACTTTCTGATGGGAAGCTGGGAGTGCTTTATGCTTGGGTACTACAGTGAAGAAGGTAATTGAAAAGACAGCATTTCTTGGCATTCATGGGGAAATTTAGAGAGTTGCACAGCTCTGAATTGTGAAAAGTTTAGCTCACTTCAAATAGTCATAATTTGATTAGTCTTGCTGACTGAGTCAGGATACAGAGGCGGATTCATTTTGCTTTTTCCCAAAGTTCATTCACAGCTTGATACCTCTTCTGTCTCAGATTTAGTGCAGCAATTGAGATTCCCCCCTTCTCCCGCAGTATACTAATAAGGTCTGAACATGGTGGGCTGGCTCCTCAAAAATAGCGTATAAAGCACTGTTAAAGTAGGACTAATTAAGTCCAGCATGACTACGAGTTGACTAGTGATTCTGGAAATCTTACTTTTCTATTTTTAGAACGTGTGAGTATTGCCATTCTTTGAGGTGGATGTCAAACTGAAACCAACTGTATTGTTTCTTTTTTAAAAACAGTGCATTGAAAAGCTTAAATGTGGTCTTGATTAATGAGGCTGTTGTAAGGCACTCACACCACTAGATGGGGTCTGGAAGCTGTGCCTTTTTTAAGAAAATCAAAAAAGGCAAGTCTGTGCATCTTAAACTGTTTACAATAAAATATGTATTGCAAACATATTCTTACAGAATTGCTGAGGGCAACTCAGCAAGTCTGTTTACATATATATTTCAAGCAACGACTGTGTAACTCCACCTGTTTTTAGGTACATATGTTCTCCCTTCTTCCCCTTTTCCATGCAGCCCCATGCCCATCTCCTCCTTTTTACTGGAATCAAAAGGCTGCTTTTTCCCCTAAGAAAATATGGTAATTATCCCCTTAATGCTTTCTTTTCCTATGTTCTCTGCTCTCCCTCCCAACTAATCTTGACCTGTCCTATTAATGACTATCACATACTTTTAAACTGGTTTTCATACTACAAAAAGACTGTTCACAGAAGTGTTTTCTGCTTGTTATGGGGGTGTTGAGCCTGTGCTTTTTATGCAGTGGGATGCATTTGTGTGTCCAGTTCAAGGGTTAAAATGCTACATCTTGGGTCAGTATCAGAAATAGATATCACAGGGCATTTT